CTGCTGAAGAAATGCCACACTAGATGGTACGCAGCCTCAAGGGCATGGCCAGGGCAAAGGTCTGAAGAAGTAGTCAGCCTAGCTGGGACAGAAGCAGGCAAAACTGACTCACGTACAAGTACGTGAATGCAAGAGGCAAAGGCCCTCAACTGCCGCGTTCTCCAGAACCACCTCACCAGCGTAATGGGGCATTTTCACTCCATACGCCGCTGGAAGCCTTCAGGTCTCTGAGAGCAAATACCTTTGAAATACTCTGTTCTATCCGAGTCCCAAACCAGGGGAAGGTTCCTGCTTACTCATGAGGAGGACTTCCTTCCCACACATCATCCCTACAGCAGGCTCAACTCAGCTGCATGCAGAGCTTCGGATCTCCTGCTGCGTTGTTGCCCTACCTTGCAACCCAGATCTCAAGACACGTTTTCCCTCCTTCACTGGGCTCTATCTGGCAAGTAATTTTTCCATGACAGCTACTCCACTTGCCCCATTATTACACAGAGCCTTTGCAAAAGCACTTTCAGTTCCAAAACCAACTATTTCTATCAAAGACAATATGATGACTTGGAGTGTTTTGCTCTTTCTAGCAACCCCAAAAGAATGATTAATCACTGACTCAGGCGTACCTCATTACATTTTTGCCCACAGAGGGTAAGCTAGCAAGTCTCCTGTGACTACCTCTCCTACTACTGCAAAAAGACTTCCATATTTTCTCCAGAAGCACCTTTTATCTTTAAAAAACATATCTGTCTGACTAGCTATTCGTAAGACACTTGGTTTTAGCGTTATGTGCCTCCCGGTCAAGGCCTGTAGCCCTGAGACAGTATACTTCAATGCAGGATCCTGCTATACAAAGAGCTTAAAAAAGGCTTTTGGAGATTATTTTTTCTTGCTGTTGTTGTTTGGGGGTTGTTTTTTTTTCGTATATAAAGAGCCTTCCTTGATCTAGAGCTAATTTTATCAGTTTCAGAACAAGACTGGGCATGTGCAGATCTCTATAATTATCTACAAAAATTGCCTACAAGAAATTGCCCAATGGTCCAACTAAAAGTGCTGGAAATTAAGCAACTCATTCCAGCAGAGGATCCGACAGCCCTTCACTAAGGAAGCACAAGTGCCATGTATCTCATGACAATTATTAAAAAGATCGCATCGTCTAAAACCTCTCAAACTTTCTCCTTCCTCTCTAATTTCAGGTGACAATTCCCAGAAGAACCGGTAAATGGACATATCTGGTAGATTAGATCTAACTACACCTGCACTGCCAGGACAGCCTAAAGCTTGGCTCACACAAATCGAACTCCCCAGCAGTCTGCACTACCATTTGCGGAAGCGTACAGAGAAATAGCTGGCCCTCCAGAGGAAAAACTGGCACAGGACAAGCATAAACCTAGACTCCAGCCCAGCCACCACAGGCAGTACAGCCACATCTGTACATTACCCAACACTTCGTCTTCCTGGAGCACAACTTAAGACTTAGTTGGATCTAGTTAGACTGGGAGGAGAGAGGGACACCTGCTCCACACACAGCTGAGAGGTATTTTGAAAGGCTGCACTCACCCAGGGGAGTGTCCACCAGGATTGCATTGTACAGTTCCGCAGGCGTCTGAGCAATGTTCACAGCTTCCATCTGCTCAAAACTTCCCAGAGGATGACACTTGGGCACCAGTTCGGAGATGGAACGCTGGTGCAGAGTCCCAGTGATCAGCAGAATGACATTGTCGATCATGTAGCTGTACCTGGAGGAATGCAAGAGGAAACCTGTCACAACGCAAATAACACAAACCCCAGCACCTGGCACCAGACGGGCACACGTCTTCAGTCCCTGGGAAGATCTCCAGAAAGATGCGCCCTTCCCACAAAGAACAAGTAAGGCGCCTCCTTAACATCTCCTTATCGTGCCAGCCCAGGAAAAGGGAGTCAAGCATAGTCCCAGGCTGGGATTTACGCTACAGCTGAACCACACGCCATCTGAGCATCTCCCACCTACCACTGAAGAGTATTAGTTTGGAAAAGACTTCTGGAGGCCTCTGGCCCAATGTCCTGCTCCTAGCATGGCCAGCTCCAGCTGCTGAGGGCTTTGGCCAGCTGAACTTTGAGTTATTTGCATGGATGTAGACCTCACAACCTCCCTAGGGCTCTTCTTCAGTCTCTGACCACATTCACAGTGAAAAGGCTTTTCCTAAAAGCTAATCAGTCTCTCATCCAAACCCCACACACCTCCCACAAGGAGAAGAGCCTGGCTCCAGCTTCCCCACACTCTCCCACAAGATAACTGGGAACATTTGTCCTTCCAGCTTTCCCACCGCTCTCCTCACATTGACATGCTCTGTAGGGAGCACGTGCAACAGCGTGAGTGGTAGGACACCAGCAAAGGGGAATCTGGAGATAGCTTGACTCGAGCTCAGCTTCATTGCCAGCAGCACGGCTCCATCTTGCCAAGACTATGCAGAAAGGGTCACGTTTCTGCAGCCACATTCCCTTCCAAAAACAACAGGGATGGCAGCTTTGGCACAACCTTCATTCACACCCTCACAAAAATACACACAAGCTTTTTCACACCTCTGCCATCAAAAGCTAAGGGTTTTTTCACATTAGCCGATATTATGATGTCCCTAACCAAGTTCTCTGCTTACATTATACAGGATTAGCAGATTCAGTCTTTGGCATAGCAGTAATGGGACATTCAGTCTGGAACCATGGCACTCGGCACAAGTTCTACCAACACAAGCCCTCTGTGGCCCTTTTCTCCAGTATGTCCATGTTTCTCTTGCACTGGGGAGCCCAGAATGGGGCACAGCACACCAGGTGAGGCCTTAACCAGTGCCAGGTAAAGATCACCTCCCAGTTGTCCCAGTCCAGCCAGAGAAGGGAAACACAGCTGGCCCAAAGACTGGGAACACAAGATAGGCTGGTGGCCTTTTCCAAGTAGAAGGTCCAAGCAAGGCATCAAGGCATCATGTAAATACAAGGAGCTAAGAGGAAAATTGTCCCCAGCAAGAACAGGAACAGTGCTCTAGGCACCTTCACCACCAGCTGAGCCATAAGCCAAGCAAGCCAAGAACCTGAAAAACATCAAGTGAGATGAGGGGGTTTTTGTGGTTTTTTGGTTTTTTTTTTTTCCTAGTCAGCAGAAGAAGCCTTAGCAAATGTCCCTCAGCAGCACAAGGAAGGACCACAGATGCTAGAAGAGCCGGATATTTGGGATTTTACACTCCCTTTGCTCTCACTGCTAGAACTCTAACTCTAAGAAGTTAGATGATGGAAAAGACCTGAAGAAGCACCTTGGCAGGAGCTGCTCCAAAACAAACAAGATCAAGCCTGAGCTATAATGGGAGAAGGAGCTGTGCACATCTGGAGGTGGAACACTGTTGAGGTTGAGGCTTCCCACATGTACTTGAGCATGGAAGAAAAGGAACTTAAGGCCAGCATGCGGGACTGGGGCAAGGGCAGGGATGGCAAGGCTCTGCACATGTTTGTCAGACAGGCATGGGGATGCTGCTGGTCTTTGTATTTCCAAGCTAACAAGGAGGACATAGCGTAGCCCTGTTTCCCTTTAAACCACACCCAGGGCAGGTAAGCAGAGCCAAAGGCAGATTTTGGTAGTTTTTGTTAGGTGGGCTTACTGCCTCTCAAATATGCTCAAAGGCCATGTCCACAAACAAATCTACACCTTAGTTCCTCAAAGAGGTGCTGCCTTTTCCCCTCCACGCTGCAGGGCCGGGTAACGCACCTCCTGGTCCCACTATTTTTGCAGAGAGCCTTTCTGTGTTTGCAGCCTATCTTTCCAGGGATGTTGAATCTAGAACCACAGCAATCAGCTTTACGTACCAGGAAACCTCCTTTTGCCCTTTCATCCGCAAGGTCATTCTCCTGCCTTCTGTTTGTGCAACTTGCACCATGGAGATGATTGCAATCTCCAGGACAGCAAGAAGAGCCTGTTCATGAGAACTGAGGAGAAGTCCCTCGCAGTAAGCAGCTGGTTGCTGGTAAATACAAGCATTTGCACCCTGACACACGTGCATCTCCGTGCGGTGTGCTAGACCAAGCATACAGCGGATCATTTCCCAGTTCCACCATCTGCCTTCAAACACACAAGTTTGCTTAGCAGCGGCTTTCAGGAAAGACCATATGCAGGATTACTCTCACCAAAGCAAGGCCATGACGTAGGACCAGACCAAATTCAGTTCAACTCAGCCTGCACTGAAGGAACGGCCAGGATATATGGTCATTGCATGGCATGCTAGCACACCTCTTTCCTACTCCCAGCTTACCACGGATCTTGCTCCCTGCAAGGTATTTGCAACTTGCAAGGAGCCTGGCCAAAGTCAATCATACAAGAGGAACTGAGGGAAAGTGCCTGGAGCCCTTTCTGTTCACAGGTCTTCAGAGCAGCTTAGCTCCTGGCTTACTGGAGTCACACCAAGCTCATCTGTGCCCTCCCAGTCCGGCTCGGCATGAAAGTCACAGACAGGTTTGGGGAGAGCAGCCCAAGTCTGACCCTCTTCACACATGAGAAGCTCCTGCTTTCAGACTGATGGTCCCAGGAAAGAGAACCCAGCTGTTTTCCACCACCAGCGTGCAAAGCATGGCTCTCCCCATTTTGTTTATACCCCTTAACTTGCTTCCTCATCCTGCAGGGAAGCTTGGGGAAACGCATGGTCTATAGACCAAATGCCAAGGCCTCTAAGGAGGCCCAGCAGCAACTTTTTGAAAGAGTACTTTACCTACCTAGACTACTTAAATGTTGCTGTCAGAGGAGGCTTCATCCCTGCAGGAAGAGGAGTTGCCAGGCGCAAGATAGAGGGGAAGTTTGTCATTCAAATTTCCACTGTGACAGCATTTCAAACCTTTACGATAACAAGAGGGCTGCAGCAGGACAAAGGTCTTCTCGTGCCTGCCGAGGCCAGGCAGACACCGGCACCGCTACCTAAATCCTTCCTGATAGTTCCCGTTTCCTTCAAGCAAGCCCAGACCACGCTTCTTCACATTCAGTCCCTGCTTCAACCCAGCAAAAACAGCCACGACTCAGTCAATCGTGATCACGAGGCAAGTCTTCTAGCGCCAGGACAGCCAGAAAAGCCTCTTCTCATCTATGGAAGGGGCAACTCTTGCTTTCCTGTGCCAGGTCCCAAGAAGAACATATCTGCCTCCATTAGCACAGCTGTACTAGACCATAGCAGAGGTCCTGGCTATGCTGGCATTTCCTCCCAGGCCCAAAGGATTAGGTTTATTACGGTGGCAGCAGTTTTCCTAGGAACCTCCAACCACTTGTTTAATAGCATGGCTTTTGTCATCATCCTCCCCGTCTCCTGTTAGGTTCTGACCAGCTCCAAATGTTTCAGCTTTCACAGTTAGAAACAAGAACACATTTTACACCTCTGCTTTGAGCTGCTGTCTGCACCCACAGGGAGACGGGCACCAAGAGAGTGGATGTTTCACACGCATAGTTACGCCCTGCCTCGCTCTTCCTGTCACTCACTGAACCGAGGTGTGGTATATTCCAGAAATTCATGTTCGCAGAAATACAATTTTAGTTGATACTGAGAAACACCAGTAAATGTCTCACTGAAGAGTAGAATTTCTTGTCAAAGGACAGGGAGGAGTCAGCAAGCATAGAAATAGCATCCACAGAAGAAGAGAGATGTCTGCTTACAGCTTCCTGAAGGCCAAGACAATCGGGGCCAGTATCTTTGCTCCTCCAGCAACCCCCTGTTCAGCACAACATACACTGGGTGCCACTCGCAAGAAGAGAGCAAAGCCATTCTAGGATTGGCTAGAGAAGCCAAAAGGGGGGTGCGTGGTGGGGGAAATGTTCCTCCAGCATTCTCACCACTGGTTTCGAGAGGTACGGTCTCAGACACCTCCAGCAGAGACCTCTCCGAGAAGACACAGGAGAGCCAGGCCCCAGGAGCTAACCTCTGGGACAGCCATCCGTGGATAGCTATCGAGCAGAATCAAGGAGGAGGGCCACACGTACAAAAGCCACGTACAGGCACTTTGACAACGTATGCCTTCCAGCTTTTGGAGCTACTTATGTACAGCCACAGATAAACGAGACATTGAAGAAAGATTGCAACAGCCTGATGAATATTGGGAAAGGCTTTTTAGCAGGGGAGTATATCAAATGCATGAAAGATCATCATACAGGGGCATTTACAACTTGACCTGAAGGCACTCAAGCGTAGCCCTGCAAGGCGGTGACCCCAAGACAGCTAGGGCTTCTCCTTCCCCCACTTACTAATCTTATCTAATCATAAAGAGTCATTGTCCTACAGCAGATAGGTTGGTTTTTTATTGCTTTCTGCTCCAGGATACTAAAGAAACCATAAACAATACCACAAGTGGTCACAAAGCATGACTAACGACGGAACATTGCATGACCTGTGTTTCTCAGGGATCCTCTGAAAGCCTTGCCAAACTGTAGCTTCACAGCTGCTCTACAAGGGGTCATGAGGACAGCCCTCCATCTCAGCAAACGCAGGAGTGCGTAGCAGGGAAGAACCAGGCTGCGGCTCGGGGGTTTTGCCAGGATGGGTTAAGGTATTGCATTGCTCAGGCAACACTACCACTTTCCAAAAACCAGCATTAGACTTTAATGCAGACTAATGCTAGCAAGGCAGAAGTCACTAAGTGATTGCATTGGGCAATTACTCAGATTACTATAGCAGCACGTGTTTATTTTGGGATGAAAAAGGGAAATCTCCAGTGGGATCGGAACAGTGCTCCAAACTCGGCA